AAAAGCACCCGCCTGGCCCCTTTACAGATGCCAGTGTCCTGAAAGACCCAGCAAAATGAAAAGGGCTGAAGAGCAGGTCTGGATTAAAGAGGAAAAACACATGAGGCAACCAGACGCAGGATGCAACCCTGAGTTCAAAATGTGTAAATGAAAAACTAAAACAAAACATGTTATTGGGGCCGTAAGGGAATCGGAATGCAGACTGAGTGTCAGATGAAAGGCACGGATCCTCGTGGCCTTCCTGAGTGGGGCCATGGTCTGCAGTCTTGGAGCAGGACGTCCTTGTCCTTAGGATGCACCCAAAAGACTCAGCAACGAGAGAGAGAACACACGTGCAGCCACTTGTCCTTTCCTTGCCATTTTTACAAAATAAAGTTTTTGAAAATAGAACCTTGGGGTGGTGGGGTGGTGGAAGGCCACACTGGTCCGCCTTATTTTACAGGCGGGAAGGCTCCCTCGTGAGAACAGCAGAATGAGCCGTGGCACGTTTGCACTGGGGAACATTTCCAAGCATCTAGAGAATCGGAGCATGATCGTCACCAGAAAATCCCGGCTGGCTGAGGAAGACGTGGACAAGCGATGACAGCGTGAGAAGTCCACGGCACAGCAAAGCGTGCATTGCATGGTCCCATCCAGCAAACTGCTGACAGACAGATCCTTCTCTGTGTCTGTGTCCATCAGGTTAAGATGTTGGAAACAGCAAGCACTTATGTGACACTTGCCAAGCTGCTATCTGAAGTGTCTGACATGTACCAACTGTCACCTTAAAAGCCCTCCGTAGGTGATACTTTCATTAACTTCATTTTACAGAAAAGTAAAAAAGGCACAGAGAGGGTAAGTCGCTTGCCTGAAGGCACCCAACTGGGAAGTGGCCAGGCCAGGATTTGAACCTGGGCTGCCTGCCTCCAAAGTCCATGTGCATGGGTCCCCCTGAGCTGCTGGAAGCTGAAGCCCTGCCAGAGGCTGTGGAGGAGCCTGGGCCTGCTGCTGGGACTTGCACAGGGACACACTGCTGGGTATACCCAGTGGCTAGGATTCTAGACCAGCTCCTCCACGGCTGCATCTGGGCAGCTCACCCCTCCTGCCCCCACCTCCTCCTCTCTCTGCCCACACCACACCCCTGCAGCCTCCCACCTTGGGTGGACAAAGCCTGAAGTTTGGCACCAGCCCTGACCTCTCTCCCACTATTTAAACAACACACCTCTTCCCAGCCCTGCTGCCAGGATGTAGACAGGCAGGGGCACCAATGGGTCCCTGGAAACTTTCTGCCTGAAGGACACTCATTAATGACTTCCTCTCCACCTACCCAGGCCCCTTCCACCCCTGCTGCCCGGGCCCTCCTGACCTCCAGCCAGCCAGCCTGGGACAGCTGGTCCCACGAGCATTTGCTGCTAACTATCTCCGTGGCCTTGAGTAAACCCCTGCTACCTACAGAATTTGGTTCCCCAAAGGAAAAATAAAAGATGGAACTGAGCAGAACCCAAGTCGGTCCAGATCTAACAATCTGACAGTGTATGAAACTTTCCCCATTAAAGTGATCAGGCCAGGCACAGTGGCTCACGAGTGTAATCTCGGCACTTTGGAAGGTCAAGGTGGGAGGACTGCTTGAGGCCAGGAGTTCAAGACCAGCCTGAGCAACATAGCAAGACCCCCATATCTACAAAAAAATTAAAAATTAGCTGGGCACAGTGGTGCGCACCTGTAGTCACAGCTATTCAGGAGGCCAAGGTAGAAGGATCAATTGAGCCCGAGTGGTTGAAGCTACAGGGAGCCATAATCGTGCCACTGCACTCCAGCCTGGGTGACAGCATGAGACCCTGTCTCAAAAACAATAAATAAAAAAATAATAAAGGCCGGGCACGGTGGCATATGCCTGTAATCCCAGCACTTTGGGAGGCTGAGGTGGGTGGATCATTCGAGGTTGGGAGTTCCAGACCAGCCTGGCCAACCTGGTGAAACCCCGCCTCCACTAAAAATACAAAATTTAGACAGGTGTGGTGGTGAGTGCCTGTAATTCCAGCTACTCAGGAGGCTGAGACAGAAGAAGCACTTGATCCCGGGAGGCAGAGTTTGCGGTGAGCTGAGTTCGTGCCACCAAACTCCAGCCTGGGCAACAAGAGCAAAACTCTGTCTCAAAAAATAAATAAATAAATGAACAGCTGGTAAGTTACTACCTCCTCAAGAGGCCTTGGTAAACAAAATAATCAGTCAAACAAAACAATCTCCAATACTGTAACAGCCAGAGGCAGTGAAAAGCAATGCGGGGCTAAAGTAGGAAGCTACTTGGGGCAAAGGAGCCCAGCCCCATTTTTGCTGCCTATGGCCCCCTCATCTCCCTGCTAACAGCCCCTCCTTTTTACCTTTGGGAACCACCCCACTCCTACCCGAGTCTCTGTGGGTAAAAACAACTTCCCTCCCTGGCTCCAATGGGCAAGTGACCCAAGGCTGACCAAATCACAGAATTCTATTACTGGAGCCACAGCAATTGGTCCAAGGATGCGCATGTGATTCCAGCCCAGCCAATCACAGCCAATGAGCATTCACTCCATAACTTGTCCCTGCCACTGAGAAAATTTGTTAATTCTCCTTCACTATCCCTCTGGAAATTCCAAAGCAGCCAGTTTCTCCCTGATGTGGTGCAGATACCATTTATTTTCTAATTGTCAGAAGCCACTGGCAAGTGAGACTAAGGCATACAAACAAAAACATAGGAATCTAATTCTAGAATCACATTCAGCCTGTCCAGATGCTCTGTCACGGGACCCAGGAGGAACAGCAGGGTCACAAGAAACTCACTCCCTGCCTGACACTAACCAAGTCTATTTATGAGTATCACTGCTATTTTCCTTTTTTTTTTTAAATTGAATGCATGTGGATGATTTTGCATAAATGACACGCATATGGGCCACACCTCTCACATTTCTGCACGGAGCAAAATCACCTCGGTCTCCTGACTCAGCCTCGCACTGTCCTGCTGGTGGGAACAAAGTGAAACCGAATTCCATTCTTTTTTTTTTTTTTTTTTTTGAGATGGAGTCTCGCTGTCATCCAGGCTGAAATGCAGTGGCGCAATCTCAGCTCACTGCAACCTCCACCTCCCAAGTTCAAGCAATCCTCTGCCTCAGCCTCCCAAGTACCTGGGACTACAGGTGTGTGACACCATGCCCGACTTATTTCTGTGTTTTTAATAGAGACAGTGTTTCACCATGTTGGCCAGGCTGGTCTCAAACTCCTGACCAAAAGTGATCCACCCACCTCAGCTCCTAAAGTGCTGGGATTACAGGCATGACACATGACACCGCGCCCAGCCCATAAATGGTTTGATTCTAAATAATGAACCTTGGCTTAAATCCTCAGGGAGAGAAATGCTCCCAAACCCAGTCCCATCCAAGACACCTGATGGGACCAAGATGCCAACAGGAGGATCCCTGCTCCCTCTTGGAGGCAGGAGGTGGCCCCAGAACCAGCCTCCATGCTTCCTGTGGCCCCACCACCATCCACAGACAGCCTTGATGACATCTTTATACACCCATATCCCTTCCTTCTGGCCACTCTGCCTTCATGCGGGGGCAGGAAAGGGGTCAATCAGAAGCCACCAAAGCTCAGACAAGGAGACACCCCAGCACCGGAACCAGGCAGAAGTCACTGAAATCCAGATGGAGTGTGTTAAGACTCAGGCCTAGAATCTGTAGATGCATCCCCGGGAGCCAGGCTTCTGGGTGCTCCCCAGGGTGAATGACCTCCCTTACCCCTCACTACAGCCCGAGGAGGGAGACCCAGGGAAACAAGCCTGGCAGGGATATACAACTCATCCACAGCCACATAGATAGGAAGTGCAAGAGCCAGTGCTGAATTCTGGGAGGCTGGTTCCAAAGTCCACGCTGTGGAGGACTCCCACTGGGGCCTCTCTCTGCCTTAGTCCAAGGTCCCACCCTTGGCGGTTCTCAGCCCTGGACAAGGATCTCCAACTATGGGATGCAGCCGTGAACGAGACAGACAAAGTCTGTCCTCATGGAACTCACGCAAGGGGACGAGATAATTTCAGAGGCTGTTAAGGGCTCAGAAGGGAATAGCACAGACTGGTTATGACACAGACGGCACAAGCCAGGCACAGTGGCTCACGCCTGTAATCCCAGCACTTTGGGAAGCTGAGACAGGTGGATCACCTGAGGTCGGGAGTTCAAGACCAGCCTGGCTAAATGGTGAGACACCCCCATCTCTACTAAACATACAAAATTAGCTGGGCATGGTGGCGCATGCCAGTAATCCCAGCTACTCAAGAGGCAAGGCTGGAGAATTGCTTGAACCCAGGAGGCGGAGGCTGCAGTGAGCCGAGATCGAGCCATTGCCCTCCAGCCTGGGTGACAGAGCAAAACTCCATCTCAAAAAAAAAAAACAGCACAGACAGACAGTGAGTGGACACGGAGGGCACCTGTCCATTGGGTGGAGTGGGCAGTCAGGGGGTGTCTTCTTCAAAAGGTTACATTTAGGCTTCAAACGGTTACATTTAAACATAAAAGAGGAACCAAGCATAAGAGCCAGGGGGACAAAAAAGTCCAGGCAGAAGGAAGAGCACGTGCAAAGGCCGTGACGCAGGCCAGTGCATGACATGTTTGAGGAAAGGGAAGGCCAGTGAGGCTGCCGCGGGGTGAGAACGCTGAGCTGAGATGGGTAGGGCCCATGCAAATGAGGCTGACAGCAGCTTTATCAACAAATGCAGGAAGATTTTATTCAGCTTCATGAAATGATCCAATTTGCATGGTTTTGTTTGTTTGTGTGGTTTTTTTGTTTTTGTTTTTGTTTTTGGAGATGGAGTCTCGCTCTGTCACCCAGGCTGGGGGGCAATGGTTCGATCTCGGCACACTGCAGCCTCCGCCTCCCAGGTTCAAACAATTCTCCAGCCTTGCCTCTTGAGTAGCTGGGATTACTGGCATGCGCCACCACACCTGGCTCATTTTTGTATTTTCAGTAGAGACAGGGTTTCACCCTGTTGGCCAGGCTGGTCTTGAACTCCAGACCTCAGGTGATCCAGCGGCCTCAGTCCCCCAAAGTGCTGGGATTACAGGCATCAGCCAATGCACCCGGCCCAATGTGCATGTTTTAAAGAGCAATTTGGCTTTGATGCAGAGAAGTGACAAGAGTGTGGCATGAATCGGTAGAGCAAACAGCCCCAGGAGGACACTCCAGCACCCGCTGGGAAAAGCCGGTGGCAGCTTGGTCTGGGCTGACGGCCGTGGCAGGTGGAGAGGAGCAGGCCCATCCCCCTGCACAGGACCACAACCTGCCACTGGTCACGAACTACCCTGTGAAGCAACCCTTGTCTTTCAAACACCCTTTCAATAAATGTTTGAGAACCTGCGATTATGTACTAGGCATCGTTCCAGGGGCTTGGGGCACGGCAACAAACAACACAAACGTCCCTGACCTCACAGTCCAACATCCTCCTGGGGAGAAACAGAGAGTAAACACAGGGAGGCTCCAAGGTATCTCAGTGGCTGACAGGGCTACCGAGAAGCACAGTGGTAAGCAGAGCCGGGAGCACAGGCAGACGGGTGGTGGGGGACACCTGCACGATGAACAAATGAGATGGGGGGTCTCCATGAGCGAGTGAGTGCTGAACAGAGACCTACAGGAGATGAGAGGGCTGTGTCACAGGACAGCTAAGGCGATTGGGGCCGTGCGGCCGAGGAGTGGCCAGGAGGCCACTGTGCGAGGGAACAGGGAATGGGGACATCACCAGAAAAGTGGCAGGGGTGGATGGCACAGGCCCCGGGCCGGGTTAGGACCTGGCTGTGACTGCTAGGGGATGGGTCTGGCTTTGAGCAGAGGAGGTAAGCTAGGAGCCGTTCCGATGGGCTCCTGTGGCTGCTTATTGAGAGACCCCACTGGGGAACAAGGGTGAGCACAGGAAGGCCAGCGAGGAGGAGGAGGCAGGAATCCGGGGGACAGGTGAGGGCAGCTTGGACCAGAGGCGATGGCGCCTCGGGTGTGGTGAGAAGTGGTTGGAATCTGGGTATATTTAGATGATGAAGCCATAAAGCTTTCTGATGGGTTCCTTGCGGAAGTGGAGAGAATGGGAGTCAAGGCTGAGTGCAACGCGCTGGCCCGGGCAACTGGAAGACGGGGGACTACCGACGGAGTTGGGAGCTGGTGGGAACCGCAGGCGTGGCCGGGGTTGGTAAGGAGCCAGCTGGGGCGAGCGGAAGCTGCCTTTGACCCTGAGTCGAGATATGGACTCTGCCATACATGCTCAAGGGTGGGGTTCGGAGGAAATGTCTGGGCCCAGGGATACCAATTTGGGAGTGCTCAGGACAGAGATGCCACTCAGGTGTGAGGCTGGAGGAGCTCACCCAGGGATGAGGGATGAGGTCGCACAGAAAGGCGGCCCCGGGCTCCGCCAGTGGGAGGCCAGGGAGACCAGGGGGCATTGGCGGGCAGGACCAGAGCAGCCAGGAAGGTGGGAGAGAAACCCAGAGATCATCTCAAGGGTCCTCCTAGAAGCTTCCAGAGAAGGTGGAAGGAACTTCACCCAAAATGCCAGGAAGCAAACAAGCCCAGGCCCCTCCTGCTCCTTCCCCCTCCCGGCACAGGCTGTCAGCGAACAGGAAGAAACAGTGGAGTGGGGGGAAAGGAAACACTTACTCCGGCCATGCCTCGGGCCGCCAGCCTGCCTGGAACCGAGGGCCCGGGGGTTCTGAGCAGGCAGAGCGACTCCGCATCCTACCCAAGAGCTCTGGGAGGAAAATCGCCCCAACACCTGCGGGCAGCCAGCCCGGGGCCCTTTAAGGCTTCAAAGCCAAGGACACAGGTTGCTGTGTTGTTTTTGTCTCTGTGTTACAGATCCAGCCTGGCCACTCCTGGGCCAGCAGAGGCCAAGATCACGTCCAAACAGGGGAAGAGGGATGAGGTAAATAAAAGGGATTCTCTTTTTGTTTTGTGTTTTTCATTTTTGACTGGGCCCTAGCGTTGAATTTTCCGCACAATTAATGTGCCTGTGGTACTGGCGCTGCCAGCGCCTCAAGAGCAGAGGGCCTAGTTCGAACCCTGCTCCGCAGAATCCTCCAGGCCCAGGATTTAAACCACAAAACTCTCTGGTCTCAGCCCCAGGGGTAGTGGCTTATGGCCCCAGGGGCCTCTGTTTTGCTGCCCACAGACATGGAATCACTCTCCGAACACTAAGGAACCTCCATGGGGGACCCACAAACGACAGTGCCTACAAGCCTGTAGCAAATCGCCACTGGGACCAAGACTCATCCAGGAAAAACACCTCGATGGAGCAAGCCTCCACGGGGACTCACGTCCATCGCATTTGCTAGAAACCGAAAGCCAGGGTAAAGCGATTCCAGGTTGCGGAGCTTTGCCACGTTCTAGTTAATCAGGGTGCATCTCCAGCGGAGGCACAGCAGGTACTGACCATTCCAGGAAGGGACGGGGAATGCTTCCTGGAAACCCCGGTGCAAGGCCCAGCCCCAGAAAGGAGATAACAGTGGGACACATCGACATGTATGTGCGGTCACACTGACACACGCATAAATACGTGTGTTCATGTGTGTCCTTGTGCGTGTATAGACACGCCATGTGTGCCTGCGTCAACACATGTGGGCACATAGCAACACAGGTGTCTGCACATGCATCATCATGTGATCACACATCAAGGCAGGTGTGTGCATGCCTACACAGGTGTGTGTGTCACTATGTTTTCACCCTCAGCACATGTGTACACACAGCAACACACGTGTGTGCAAACACACACAGTCATTCAGACAGGGAGACGCAAATCTACCAGGAGCAAAAAAACTAGACTCAGGCAAACTAAAAATACCCTGTGTTTTTCAGCCGTCACCAGGGAGTACGTTGAAGTTGTCTCTCACATGCCAGAAAGAATAGGAAGTTCAATGGCAGGGAAGAGGAAGAAAAACAAAGCAGAATTGGCACACACCTGTGATCCGAGCTGTCCTCTGAGGAGCTCTCTCCCCAGCCGTGACCGGCGATCCGCTCTAGGGCTTTGTCCCATGGGTCCAGACACGGGGGTCCTACAGGAAATGCCCTGTAGCTGGAGACCCCGTGCCTCCTTCCCGGGTTCCACGGAGAGCTGAGAAAGGTGCAGAGCGGGGCCGCCCCGGCAGGGCGGGTGGGAGTCCCCCGCCCCTGGGGTCACCGGGAGCCCTGGGATAGGAAGAGGTGGCCTCTCTGGGAGCCTCACTTGGCGCCCGTGTTTGAAGAGCATGTCCCTGATCTCAGACTCCCCTACCAAAGGGAGATGCCAGCATGCACTGTGCACCAGCAATGGCTGGCAGGGTGATTATCAGGACAGAGGCCTTGAAGGGACCCTGCTGCTCCCTGGTGATGCAGAGAAAAGGGGCAGCCCAGGAAGAGACTATAAGAAGGGTCCCCCCACCCGGCCCACCTCAAGCCTGCAGTCAACCTGCTCAGACACGCAGAGAGCAGGGAGGATGCAGTCCACAGAGGCTGCCGGGACCGGCTGTGGAGTCGAGCCCCCCACTTGAAATCCTGATTCAACCACTTGGAGCTGTATGATGTGGGGCAAGTTACTTTCCACCTCTGTGCATTCATTTCCCTCAATAAAACAAGACACGAGAGTACCTATTTTAGGTACTAAAAGAAATAATGCACGTAAACACTTAGAACAGCATCCGGCCGTCAACCCCCACCTTTTAACTGATTAGCAAAGATTTCCCAAAGGACACAAACTCAGGGACAGTCAGTGACGTCCCAGGCTGGCCCTGGTGCCTGGGCTCTCCAAGGCTCACTGTGTGGCTCTGGCTGAGGTAGGCAGGGGTGAGATAGAAAGCCTCAGGTTGGGAGGCCGAGGCGGGTGATCACAAGGTCGGGAGTTCAAGACCAGCCTGGCCAAGATAGTGAAATGCCATCTCCACTAAAAATCCAAAAAAAATTAGCCGGACGTGGTGGCTGGTGCCTGTAATCCCAGCTACTCAGGAGGCTGAGGCAGAGAACTGCTTGAACCCAGGAGATGGAGGTTGGCACTGGGATCATGCCACTGCACTTCAGCCTGGGCGACAGAGCAAGACTCTGTCTCAAAAAAAACAAAAACAAAAACAAAAGCCTGAGGCCAGGGCTGGGGGTCACGCACGCCTCATTCATTCTTCGACCCGGCTGGCACTGAAGGGTCAGCAAGGAGCTGAGGCAAGGAGCTCAGGCTCTGCTACGGCCCTCGGGGACCCTGCGGTGACAGTGATGGGAAAGCCCTTCCCTCAGCAGATACCAGGGTATCAGGAAAAAGCATGCAGCAAAGATGAGCTGAGTTTTTGCCTCTACCTCTGAGGAAACAAATGGAGCTACTGTCTATTGAGACCGGGAACATAGGTCGGGGAAGCCCAGCAGCTGGATAAGGCAACCCAGGTTGAGTCCAACTAGAAAACCGACTTCAAGACAGCACAGCAGCACAGGGGACTCAGGTTCTCTGCTGGCCATGGAAGAAGGCCATGAAGTGTATCACTGAAGATGGTGGCCTTGGAAAATGAGTCCTTCCCTGCAGCCCAGCTATAATGAGGAGCCTCTCCCCACGTCCTTCAGCTGGGCCTTCCTTGGAGGACCAGAGGCACGTGGGAACTTGGATGTGTGCTCCTGGGGACTTGAACCGGGCCTTCGTCATTCACCCGCATACCTAAGCACAGCAGCACGCCAGGCTTAGATCCAGGGAGAGGGTACAAGAGTCCCTGTTCTCATGGCGTCTGCCTCTGGGACACCTTCACACACACACACACACACACACACACACACACACAGGCACACACATACAGGCCAGCGAGGTCACTTGGGGCAAATTACTCTCTTCAGCTTATTTCCTTAAAAGACACTGACGACAGTAAGTCGTATGTCATGGCCCTCTGCAGGGACGACACTAGATGATTTTCACAAACGTGCTCTGAGCCCTGCCTGGCGCACAGTAAGCCGCCCGTGAGTGGATGCCGTGAGGTTCACAGTCACGGCCCTTAGAGTGTCTGTCCAAACACCTCGTCCAATCCTCCGCACTGGAGGAAGGGAGAAGAAGTGAGCCACACTCCCCAGAGCCCTCCACCACAGGGCCCCTTGGCAGTGCACCGCCTAGGTCTGTGTGGCTCATGCATCCGGTCATTCTTTGGGGAAAGCTATGTATCTGGTTCATTTGTAATTTTTTTTTTTTTGACACGGGATCTCACTGTGTTGCCCAGGTTGGAGTACAGTGGCATAATCACAGCTCACTGCAGCCTCAAGCTCCTGGGCTCGGAAGATCTCCCACCTCAGCCTCTCAGGTAGCTGGAACTATAGGTACATGCCACCGTGCCCAGCCTAGTTGTTTTTTTAATAATCATTTTTGTAGAGATGGGATCTCACTATGTTGGTCTTGAACTCATGGGCTCAAGTGACCCTCCCACCTCAGACCCCACTAAGCGCTAGGATTACAAGTGTGAGCCACCATGCTTGGCCTTGTAATTTTTATTTTTTTATTTTTTTTTTGCACTACTACTTAGCCATAACAAGGAATGATGTACTTTTAATTAAACACATATCTTGTGGATGTATTCTCTTTGTTAAAAAAAAAAAAATTAGCAGCATTACAGATAAAGTATTAGGTTTCCTTTGGCCACACCCCCAGGGTTCTGCCTTCTCTCTTTAGAGCATCCACTTTTGTTAGTCTGATGTATACCCTTGCACACCTTTTCCCAAACTTTAACATATTCTAACATTAAGCCATTGAAAAAAATGGCAGGGCACGGTGCCTCACACCTATAATCCCAGTGCTTTGAAACACCAAGGCAGGAGGATCACTTAAAGCCTGGAGTTCAAGACCAGCTTGGGTAACACAATGAGACCCTGTCTCTACAAAAATAAAAATAAATAAAAATTGAAAGAAAATATTGTTTGGTGGTTTGTTTGTTTTTTTTTTCTTTTTTGAGACAGAGTTTCGCTCTTGTTACCCAGGCTGGAGTGCAATGGCGCGATCTCGGCTCACCGCAACCTCCGCCTCCTGGGTTCAGGCAATTCTCCTGCCTCAGCCTCCTGAGTAGCTGGGATTACAAGCACCACACCCAGCTAATTTTTGTATTTTTTAGTAGAGACAGGGTTTAGCCATGTTGGCCAGCCTGGTCTCAAACTCCTGACCTCAAATGATCTGGTGAATAACGAAGGCATGGTTCAGGTCCCTGGAGGCAAACATCCAAGTTCTGTGAACACGTCATAGACGTGAAATGTAGACAAGGAGCCATTCTTAAGAAATAGCCTACGGCCAGGCGCGGTGGCTCACGCCTGTAATCACAACACTTTGGGAGGCCAAAGTGGGTGAATCACAAGGTCAGAAGATCGAGATCATCCTGGCCAACATGGTGAAACCCCGTCTCTACTGAAAATACAAAAATTAGCTGGGTGTGGTGGCACATGCCTGTAATCCCAGCTACTTGGGAGGCTGAGGCAGGAGAATCGCTTGAACCCAGGAGGTGGAGGTTGCAGTGAGCCAAAATTGCGCCATTGCACTCCAGCCTGGCAACAGAGCAAGACACCGTCTCAGAAAAAAAAAAGAAAAGAAATTCAGTCTAAACAAGCAGGCCAAGGGGAAAAGATGCCAAGTAGTATGACATTATCCACATCTTCACCCCAGCTCATTGAAGGTGGCGGCCTTGGAAGATGACCATCCCTTTTCTGCAGCCCAGCTGCAGTGTGGGGCCTCTCCCCATGCCCACCAGCAGGGCCTTCTTGGGAGGACCATAGACACACAGGAACTTGGCTACCAAAAAACGGTCATGATAAATCGGTAATCACCAATGACAGCAGAGTTGGGGGAAGCGGCACAGTCCCACACCTTGTGGGTGGAAGCATCAACAGATCGTGCAGAAGGGCAATTTGGCCGTAATCATCAAAACTCAAACTGAACACACCTGCTGCCAAGGCCCTACTTCTAGAAATCCACCCTATAGAAATGTTCACGCACCACATGAAGCAGGATGTGTCAGGATATCGCTGCCATTTGTGACAGAGAAAATGATCAGTCAGTGGAGAAACAGGTAAACAAGTCTATAACCAACCGAAGGAATGCCAGCAGTGATGAAGAAAAAAGCAGTGTAGATTTATTGCTGGGACATGGAAAAGTTTTCAGACAGTATCACCGAATTGAAAAGCAAACTGCAAGATAATTGTACATGTTCAAGTTCACTTACACTTAGTTCAAGTTATATAAAATATACATATTGGTATGTATATATACTGGCTCTGGAATACATGCATACATATGTATACATACACAGAAAAGGATCTAGAAAGATCCACACCAATGATGGTGGGAGTAGCTGAGTAGGGGAATAAAATGGGGGAAACTTTCTCTCTTTTCCTCCATTTGAACTTTTTTTTTACAAGCAAGTATTCCTATGTTTTATATAAAGTCATCCCTCCGTGTCAGAAGAATTGGTTCCAGGACCCTCACAGACACCAAAGTCCGCAGGCGTTCAGGCCCCGACATAAAATGGTGTGGTATTTGCATACAACCTACACACATCCTCCCGTGTTCTTTAAATCATCTCTCGATTACTTATAATACCTAATGCGATGTAAATGCTATGTCAATAGTTGTTATACAGTATTGGTTTTATGTCTTTTTTTTAATAGTTATATTGTTATTTGGGGGGGATTTTATTCTGAATAGTTTCAATCTGCAATTGATTGAATCCACGGATGTGAACCTGCAGACACAGAGGGCCAAATGTAGGGACTTCTGTAATTAACCAAAGAGCGTATTTAAAAAAAAAAATCAAAGCACAAGTCCTCCCATTCAAGTTGCACACGGACTCATGTAGCCAAAAAAAACACCAGCGGGCAGTCTCTGCTTATGTGAGTGTCCCACCCACCCGGTCCCCTGAACACAGGCTCTCTTCTTCCATGCCAAGGTACTTGGCCGCCGCTGTAGCCTGGGCGGTCCCAGAAGAGGCCGTCTTGGGCTGGGCATGTCTTCCTGCCTTCACACTACTGGGCCCCAAACCAATGGCCTTTGGGATATCCACAGAAGATGCCCATTCAACTTTAAGCCAGATGCTCCTAGCTCCAGGACAATTGAGGACAATGTAGTTTTCCTCTTTAGCATGGGAGAGGACCGGGAAAATTTCGTGGTGCACACATCTGTGTGACATTCTTAACCTGATGAAATCTGAGAAAGAAAACACCTTGAAATAAGCCCTCCAAATGACTGAGTTGGCAAGACTCCTTACCTGGCATAAATCCCACCGCCCCCACACTCCCAAAGAAAGAAACTAGGTGCTCACTGCACAGGGTCACATGCTGGCACCACCTGAGTGACAGCCCCTCTAGGGACCCTTCATACCCACAGTGGGGTCCTGTCACTGCAGCAGCCACAAGGCTGTCACTGACACACACGTTTCAGTATGAGTAGGCCACAAAAAAATAAAGTCCCTCAGTGTAACAGAGAAAGCCTCTGAGCTGTCTTGGGGAGGAAGAGGCCATTCTCTTGCTTTTCCTGCCATGCCCAGAGACAATGTTACCCTTCACCAGGACCTCTTTACAATCAGATTACATACCTTGACAGAACAGGATTTGAAAAATCAAAAAATAGACACAGCGTGGCCAAGATGCCCCAGGCAACTGCTCACCCAGAGACCTTGAGAGAGGCCACATGTTGCTCCATCTTTAAAGCCAGCTAGCTGGGTCCCAAGAAGTGGCAGCCAAATCTAAGCAGATTTCATTCATTCACTCATTCATTCACTCTGTAAATGGGGGAAGGGACATGAAATGTGGACAAGGAGCCATTCTTAAGAAACCCAGTCTAAAGGGGCAGGAGGAGGGAAAAAGATGTCAATTATCGTGACGACATCCACATCTTCACCCCAGCTCTGCATCTGGCTGGAGCTTTCGTAACAGTGAGCCGGTTTTCCCTCCACTGCAGGCGCCAGCTCCAGGGCTTCGAAGCTGTAAATGGCTTTTAGCTCAAATGTGATACTCTGCAATCTCCCAGCCCTTCCCTAACTCCAGGCTCATTCGAACAGGCCACCCAGGGCAGAGTCTGTCCGTCTGCAGACCAGCTGACCTCCTAATCTGTCTCCCTGGTTAAAAGGGCAATGGTGTGTAAGGTTAGAATCAGAGGAAAGACCTCAGGGTGCGTGCACTCACAGGACCTTGGGCTGGTGCCTGCCTCTGCATGAATCTGGGGAGAAGAGCAGCTTATAGTTTCCAGACTGAATCATGAAGGCAGCGAGCAAGGAGAACACAGTCACTCATTCTGTCTCTGAGGGTTCCTATGGGGAGATTCTGGACAGTGGAGGATGCTCACCTGAGCACCCACTATGTGAGCTGGGCACCCACTATATGAGCTGAACACTCACTATGTGAGCTGAGCACCCATTATGTGAGCTGGGCACCCACTATATGAGCTGAACACCCACTATGTGAGCTGAGCACCCACGTGGGCCTCACAGAAGGTTCCTGCCTTCTGGGGCTCACAGGATACAAGCAAAGTGCGCTCTCATTTTAACAGACACTGCTACCGGCTGCTGTGAAAGCAGGCGTTCGCGCACTCCTGGGCTCCTTTGGCGGCACCTGTTCACACTCCTCATCCGTCATGGGCGCCCAGACCCTTTAGGGCAGGTCAGGCCCCCGGGGGGTCTCTCATCCAGGCCTCCCGAACCCTGGCCTGCGCCTCCAGCAAAGTCCCTGGGTTCCCCGTTTGCCCCCCAGCCTCAGTCTGGGGTGGTGGAGGTGGAGGTGGAGGTGGAGGTGGTGGGGAGGCGGCAGCGGCTCTCCAGATAAGCCTGGCCTCCCTCGTGCTCTGCGGTCCCCGGCCCGGGTGCCGATCCAGCTGCGCTAGCTCACCCACCGCAGCGCGCGGGTCCTCCTCTGCGCCCAGCGCCCACCAGACCTGGGCCGTGCGCGGCCCCCCCGGGGGCTCCCTCACCCACCTTGAGGACCTGCTGTTTGATGAGCGAGGGCACCATCACGATCATGACAGCGCCCAGCACCGCGCACAGCAGCCCCGCGACGCCCAGCGCCGCGGCCGCCCAGCGCGCTTTGGCCTGGCAGCCCATGTCAGCGCGCCTGGGGCCCACCCGCGGCTTGCAGGGCTCCGCGCCTGGCAGGAGACGGACGCGGCGACAGAGGCGACACAGGCGGGGACTCCGGGCACGCGGGCAGAGGCACGGTGGGCCCGGGACGGCAGCGCAGGCAGGAGCAGCCCGGCAGGTAGCCAGCGGTTTTATGCCCCATCGCCGGCGCCGCCGGACCGCCCCCGGGCCGCCTTGGGCTCCAGGATTCCCGCGGGAGCGAGCGCCGGGCGGGGCCTGACCGAGCCCGGACTGGGACGGGGGCGGGGCCTGAGCGCGCCGGGGGCGGGGACGGGGCGGGGCCTGAGCGCGCCGAGGGCGGGGACGGGGCGGGACGCGAACCGGCGGGCCCCGGGGCGGGGCCATGGCTGCCAGGACACGCCCCGACGCGCTGCAGCTGCCCCAGCAGTCTCGCTTCCGTTTTTGGGCGGGAGTGGAGGCCTCGTGGCCGCTGTGCCAAAACGCCTGTGGGGCCTGGCGCCTCTCACCCTCCTGCTCTCTTCCCCCTCCTCCTCTCTCTTCCCCCGCCTATCTCTCCTCTATTCCCAGCCCTCCCCTCCTCCCAGCCCTCCCCTCCTCCCAGCCCTCCCCTCCTCCCAGCTCTCCCCTCCGCGCCCCTCACCCTTCCCTTTCCTTCCTCCTCGCTCTCCTCCTCTATCTGGACCATCATCATCTTTGGTCGCGGTGAGCAGGACTTAGCCAATCCACCCAGGAACCCCAAAGCCCATAAAACGGTCTACATGCCCCCCCATACCTTCTGGACCCACATCTCCCCAGTCTATCTCCAGCCTCACTGTCCCCCGAAGAAGCCCTGCAGGTTCCAGCCCAGGGCCTTCAGAACAATTCTGTTTTCCCAGGGATCCGCCTGGCTCTATGCTTCATAATGTTGGCGACACCATCACCCTATGACTGAGCACCCCCTGGCAGGTTCACGTTCATTTGATTCCTTTCATTCTGAGCACGTGCTCCAACTGGGATGCCAGCCCGTGAGGTGGGCCCCCCACGCGTCCCCAGCCCTAAAACGTGGCCTGGCGGGGAATGCCTGCTCACAGTAAATATTCTAGAATGAATGACTGAGGAGCCTTCCAGGTGCTGGCCGCTGTCCTAAGTGCTTTGCACACAATGGCTCCATTTTACAGATAAGATAACTGAGGCACGGGGAAGCTTAGTTAACCCGAACCAAGTCCTGGCTTCCTAATGAAGAGGGAAACCAATGATGAGCATGTGAGCCAATGAATGAAGGATGATTGCAGGCAAGTGCTCCAAGAAAACAGAACAGGCCTGGTGCATGGTGGCCCACAACTGCAATCCCAGCACTTTGGAAGGTCCAGGTGAGGGATCTCTTGAGGCCAGAAGTTGGAGACCAGCCTGAGCAACATAGTGAGACCCATCTCTACAGAAAATTTAAAGATTAGCCAGGCATAGTGGCATGCACCTGTGGTCCCAGCTGCTCAGGAGGCTGAGGCAGAAGGATCCCTTGAACCCTAGAGTTCAAGGCTGCAGTGACTCCAGCCTGGGTGACAGCAAGACTCTGAGGGAAAAAAGGGAGAGGGAGAGGAAAAGAAAACAGAAGAGGGTACGCAGCAGTGGGCTGGTGCTAAGTGGCAGTTGCCCTTAGATGGGTGACTGCGTCCCTGAAGCCCTCCCTGCCCCCCCGGGCCTGCCTCCTGGTGCCTGCACCATGGCCCCACCCTGAGTTTTGGGCCCCTCTCATAGGCCAGTCCCCTCATTTTCTGAATGAAGTTGCTGAGAGGACAAGAGACCCCTGGGTGACACAGGGACCAGAGGGTGGCGTCCCCAGCACTGGGTAAGGCTGGCTCCATCCTTGAGTGCTCTGAGGGAGGCTTTCTAAACCTCTTATTTAACCCCAGAAGAAAGCAGCCTTCTCCCAGGTCCATCCTTAAGCAACATGCCTTGGCCTGAACCAATATTAACTGAGCACCTGCTGTGTTCTGGTTAGACAGCTTTGCCTGGCACTGCCTTCCTCTAAGGAGACCAAACATGGTACAGTGCCCCGAGGAGGAGGGCCCAACTCCTGTTGGAGGTCAGAGTGGCTAGGGTGAGGCTGTGGCGTCCCAGAGGAACAGGTTCAGAGCAATCCAGGCTCCGGGGTTTCCCACGTTGGAGTCCTGGTGCAAGTGATGTGGGGCTTTCTGTGCCTCAGTTTCCTCATCTACAAAATAGGGATTATAAGAGCCCCTTTCCAAGGGCTGTTGTGAGGATTAAACAAGTCAGGAAAACGTGCCTGTGCTTAGAACAGTGCCTGGAATGTGTCAGTGCAACTGAGCTGGGGGCTGTCATTATGTTCAGGACCTACCTGACCTGGCTCCTTCCCACCTCTCTGCTTCCATCTCCTACCCTCTCCCCCATTGTTTCTGTTTATTGAGCATCCCCAGCTCTTTCTTATGTCAAGGCCTTTGCACTTCCTGTTCCTCTGTCTAGGATACGGTTCCCCTAGATCCTTCCATGGCTCCCCATTCCCCTCTTCCGGGCTCAGCTGAAACCCACTCCTTTGCCATTGCATCTGTCAAAAACAGGAGTCCCAGCCCACTCTGTCGGGTCACCTCGTTTTGTCTGAAATGGTCTCATCTGTCTACTTGTTCATCTCCTCCAGCTCTGGAGAGACAGAAGCTGACCCTGTTTCACTTATCGATGTATCTCCAGCACCTGGAATAATGCCTGGCACATAGCAAGTACTCAATAAATGCTTTACTCAATCAGCTAATTAACTCGTAAATCAGTCAACCAAGTAACTGATCAACTGATTAATTAGCATCACTTCATTGAATTCCTTAAGGCCTTCAACAGCCTTTAGCTATGCAGTTCACCTTTTTTAATGACTTTTGAAGTTCTCGGAAATTAGCCAGTTAACTCAAATCCGAGGCCTGCCTGGCCCTGATGCCCTCCCCCACTTCCTTGATACTGACCCGCCTTGACCATCTCACCCAATCTAACTCTGATTCATGACCAAGTCTTCAAGGTCCAAATGTACGTGGTGCTTACCCAAGAGGGCTGCAAGGCCATGGCTGGAGAGCCCTCATGTCACGCCATGCTGTCATTCAATGAGAGAAGGGCAGAGATGAGAGTGCTGGGACACGTGAGCCACCTTGGCCTTGCCGAGGGGAGTCACTTCCGGTGGCAGGGAGGGCAGCTTAAGAAGGGAAAGAAATCTTCGTCGTGTTTAGAGAAAGACCCTGCCCTGGCGAAAGCCAAAGACACAGAGGAAAGCAAGAGTGCTGATGACAAAATGTGATCAGCATGGTGGCAGGCTCCTGGAAAACCAAGTCAGATGCTTTCCTCCTCTGCTGAGTCCTCTCGTGATCAGAGACGGAGAATGAGCGTGTGCAAAGACCTGGAGGAGCTGGAAGCCTCCGGGGGTGCTCGTGGGACTGTAAAATGGTACAGCCTCAAAAGGCAAACGTAGGGTCCCCTGAGACCCAGCCTTTCCACTCCTGGTCTACGCCAAGGAGAAAGGGAAGCGCATGTCCACACGGAAGCCTGGACGCAAATGTTCACAGCAGCCCAGCAGTGAAAACAACCCACATGCCCATCAGCTGACGAAGAGGTAAATAAAATGTGGCATAACCACACACTGCAAGATTACTCAGCATAAAAAGGAATGAAGTGCTGACGCATGCCACACCATGGGTGAACCTTGAAAACATTGATAAGTGCAAGAAGCCAGACGCAAAGGCCACGTATATAATTCACTGATGTAAAATGTCCGTACTAGGAAGATGTATGGAGACAAAAAGTAGACCAGTGGTTGCCAGGGGCCGGGAGAATGAGGAGTGACTGTTACAGGTTTGGGGTTTCATTTTGGAGTGGTGAAAATGTTCCGAAAGTGATGGTAATGATGGTTGCACAACGCTGTGAATATACAAAAAGCCATCAGATTGCACACTTTATTTACTTTTTATTTTTTTAAAAGACAGGGTCTCGCTCTGTCTCCCAGGCTGGAGTGCAGTGGTGTAATCATAGCTCACTACAGCCTCGAAGTCCTGGGTTCAAACCATCATTCCTCCTCAGCCTCCTGACTAGCTTGGACTACAAGTACACGCCACCATGCACACCTGGTGTTTTAATTTTTATTGAGACAAGGTCTCGCTTTGTTGCCCAGGCTGCTCTCAAAATCCTGCCCATCCTCCCGCCCTGGCCTCCCAAAGTGCTGGGATTACAAGTGTGAGCCATCCCAGGCGTGGTGGTGGGTGCCTGTAGTCCAAGCTACTCAGGAGGCTGAGGTAGGAGAATCACTTGAACCTGGGAGGCAGAGGTTGCAGTGAGCTGAGATCACGCCATTGTACTCCAGCCTGGGCAATAAGAGCGACGCTCCATCTCAAAAACAAACAAACAAACCAAACCAACAAACAAAACAAGTGTGAGCCATCATGCCTGGCCAAATTGTATACTTTAAATGGGTGAATTTATAATATGCAAATTATATCTTAATAAAAACTGTTATAAAGAAATGGCCAGGTGTGGTGGCTCATGCCTATAATCCCAGTGCTTTTGGAGGCCAAGGCAGGAGGATCCCTTGAGGCCAAGAGTTCGAGACCAGCCTGGGCAACATAGCCAGACCCCATCTCTACAAAAAATAAAAAGTTAGCCAGACAAGGTGGCACACACCTCTAGTTTCAGCTGCTCAGGAGGCTGAGGTGGGAGAATCACTTGAGTCCAGGACGTTGAGGCTGCAATGAGTGGGCTATGACTGTGCCACTGCACTCCAGCCTGGGCAACACAGTGAGTCTGTCACTCCAAAAAGAAAGAAAACCTTTTGTGGCTCCCACCTCACTCAGCGTAAAAGCCAAAGCCTTCACCATGGCCCACAAGATCAGCACGTCTCATACTGGAGAGACAAAGTCAAACGCACCCAGATGGGCACATCTTCCTGACTTCATCTGCCTCCCTCCCCTTGCCCATTCTGCTCCAGCCACACCCACCTCCCTGGAGCTCCTCCCCCTGCTGCCTGGCTCCTGCCCCAGGGCCTTTGCACTCCCTGGTCCCCTCCAGAATGCTCCTCTCCCTGACACCCAGGAGGCTCACCCTCCCTTCCTTCAGATCCTTGATCCAGTGCCATCTTCTCAGCAATGACTGCCTTTCTGCCCAGCCTTTGAAAGCTACAAACCAACCGGAGGACGCTCCTGTCCTCCTTGGCCACCTCATTTCTCTCTGTGCCCCAGCCACCCCCTGAGGCGGGTGTTTGCTTGTTTGATCGGCTTCCTTTTCCTCTAGGAGGAAAAGAGCTCCAGGGGGCAGGAATCTGCCTGTTTGGTCCTTTGCCATTGCTGTGCCCCGGGCTCCTGAACCTCACGTGGCCCCTAGCAGGCCATCAGTGTGTGTGGATGAACCTTGTCTACCAGAGCCCAAGGTAAAAAGTGCGCCTCCGCCACCGGGCCGCGCAGCTGCCTGGCGGGGTGGCCTGGGCCAGGTTGCCAAGCCTCTCTGTGCTCTGGCTCCCTCATTCAGGCCTCAGGATTGGTCTGAGTCACGCCTGCACCCTGGGGTGGTCATGAGGATTCCATAGGCTCATCCTGGTCACGTGCTTAGCGAGGTGCCCGTGTGAGGCGGGGCCAAGTCCTCCGGCAGGCCGCCACCCGCCCTGTGACCCGCCCCAGGCGGGGAAGAACCATTCTCATCCCCGGGCTTCCTTAAAGGAGGCACAGCTGGCTCCTG